TGATATGTTTCTTTTTCAGCTTGTGAACAAAGAAATGTTCTGGGTAGTGACTGAAGTTTGTAGTGAACCAAACCCATTAAGGAGGATGAAGATTATTAAGCAGTTCATAAAAATAGCAAGTAAGTGAAAACAAAGCAAGTAATCAAATCATAAGTTACTGTTTCTTAATGGTAATGGTCTTTCCCTTGTCTGGTTATATTATTGGGTGTTCAATTGGTAAAAATTAAGGATACTTAGAATATTTTATTATCATTTATTTTAATTCTTGCATAACTTATACTTCAGTTTAGAAATTTATAGGTTTACTATGACCATGAAAAATATTATTTAGCTTCAGTGATTCATATATGGCTAGTTTTATTAACGATGTTACAAATAAGGTCAAAATTGTCCATAATGTTTTAAATAAGACCACATGTCTGTAAATGATAAGAAAATCTAGTCATATTTACAAATAATGTCAATAACATCTAAATAATTTCTCTCTCTTAGGACAGTGTAAAGAATGCAAGAACTTAAACTCCATGTTTGCTATCCTCAGTGGACTTGACCATGGAGCAGTTTCCAGGCTGAGGTCCAGCTGGGAAAAATTGCCTTCTAAATATTCCAAAATGTTTAAGGTGAAAATTGTTTTGTAGATATAAACATCAAATTAATATATATATATAATAATAATAAAGTGAAATTATCTGAATAGAGCATTTAATTGATTCTGTGCTGATACACCTATTTATTTATATGAAAATATATTCACAGTATAAAATAATAATGAACATAAGAATATTATCTCATATCCTGAATGGTTTGAAGCTAATAAAATCACAAATAGAAGATTGCAAAAATATTTCATTTGCATCTGGTGTTCCAATTTTGTTTGAATCACTCTTTGGCTTCCAAAAGAAATATAAGCAGGTAACTGATGATTAAAAGTTTCACGTTTGATTGGGAATAATTGGGACGTTGGAATGAGCACTACATTATATGTTTCATTCATGTGTGCATTCCAGTGTGTATTCTTTAAAATTGGTTATTTAGTGCATGATTCTAAATATACTAAATTTTTTCTTTAGTCCAAGCAATAAATAAACTGTCATTCCACAAGAGAGAAGTGTCATATACCAATAATATAATGAAAGTAAAAGACATGAATTTTTTTTTCTTTTTACGTAAGATGTCAGTTTCATGCTATTTGCATGACATGTCCCCAATGTCCAAATTATATTACTCTATATTACATTTACAATTCTTTCTTCATTATAAAACTTAAAACTTTTTAATTACATCATTTATCAAAATAAAAACCTTTAAGTTTTCTTTTTTTTAGAAAATGAAAATATCTAAGACATAAACATTTACAACATATTACATAGATGTAATGTGCAGGGAAATTATGTTTCTATAACCTTACTTTTCGTACATATACGTACATGTAGTGTAACTAAAATGTTGATCAAGAAAGTAGCCGAGTTAATTTCCCCTTTGTTACGTATTGAACTGGATCATTCACCTAGGATATCATGCTTGCCTTCTTTCTCTTGAGAAATAGAAGTAATTGTTATATTTGACACCCAGTGTAACAATGGGATAATAGTATGAAACTTTATATCAGTAGAACATCTTCAATCACCTTCTTTTAGCTTTTGACAAATGCAGAATTTTGAATACAAGTAAATTTGTTTTAAATGAACTATTTTAAAGATGAAAACAATGCTTAAGTCTTACTCTCTCTTAATATGCCCAGACCTTAACTTCTTGATCAGAGAGACAAACAAGGAACTAAATGATCACATGAATGGTTTTAGTAATAACTAGAACTGGAATATTGATAGGCAGTATTATGTTTTTATACCAGTTGGTTGTGTTAACTTCACTAGATGGACTTAATTATTGTAAAGGTAGCATAATATTCATTGATTTATATATCTATTTTCTTGCTAATTCAGTTAATCTACTCTTTACAGATTGGTAAGTACTTTGTTCAGAATATGTCTTGTTTTTTAGGACCTGAGTGATTTCATGGACCCATCCCGAAATATGTGTAAATATCGAACCCTGATTAGCAGTGAACATACACAACCTCCCAGGGTATGTTGAAGTAAAAAAAAATATTTTTGAAATATATGGTTCTGCAAAATAATGTTAAGAGATATGACTCAGGTTAATTTGAGCTGCATTTTGCAAATATTCGAAAAAAACTGGCATATCTGTTTTCTTTGGATAGCTTGAATTTAGATTCTCTGAAGAGATTATCAGTAAAATAGACATAAAATTAAGTTACTTTGAATAAATACATTAAAACTGTACAACAATAAAGATAGAAGAAATCTATGTTTGTCTTACTTTGTCATCCTTTATTTCTAAGCAATCTGATTCCAAACCCTAACAGTTGTTTTTCATAAAAATTGATGATATATATAGATTGCGTAGACCACTCTTGTGTCTTTTCTATCCCAGCCAGCCTCATGAGCCCTGACATTTAGTGAAAGACCTTGTCAACACTGGATATAGCAGATGTAGTATGTGTCACATATAAAATTTTCTTATTAGCTTTCACTCATGGGATCTTTAAATTAATAATATTGTTTTCTCCAGTTGACACTGTGGTTACATGACCAGCTCTGGGAACAAGAAGAATAGCTTGCTAGTTTGTCAGTTCTTGTGAATGACAGTAAAGTTAATTTACTGTGGTTACATGACCAGCTCTGGGAACAAGAAGAGTAGCTTGCTAGTTTGTCTGTTCTTGTGAATGATAATAAAGTTAATTCACTGTGGTTACATGACCAGCTCTCATGTAACCACAGTGAATTAACTTTATTATCATTCACAGAACTTACAAACTAGCAAGCTACTCTTCTTGTTCCCACCCACTCTGGGAACAAGAAGAGTAGCTTGCTAGTTTGTAAGTTCTGTGAATGATAATAAAGTTAATTCACTGCACTGTGGTTACATGACCCACTCTGGGAACAAGAAGAGTAGCTTGCTAGTTTGTCAGTTCTTGTGAATGATAGTAAAGTTAATTCAAGTAAAAATAAATAAATAAAAAAGATAAATAAACATTATTAAAATAAATAGCGTTGTGCTGTTATTCCTTACATAAAAGTCTAATTTGTAAATGACTTTAATAAAATTGATAGTAATTACAATTCACTTACTGATTGAAACCCTAACGGCTATTGTTTAGGAACATTAATAATCTATTACCTAGATTGCTACTATGTATGTCGTGTTCTAGCTGGCCTGACGAGTCCTGATATTGAGCAAAAGGTCTTGTTGGCACTGGATGTAGCCGGTGTGGTAGACATATCATAACATATTTTCTTTTGCTTTCACTCATGGGTTTTTAGAATACAGATGTTTGCTTTTGCTACTGTATTGCTTAAAACTCCACACTTCAAATACTGAAGTTTTTTTATGTTGGTAGATTAGTAAAATATTACTACTTGTATTTGATAATTCTCTCTTATTTATTTTTAAACAAGAAACAACTTATGCTATAATAATGCCCAGTATGCAAGAGACAGCTTGAATATAGCTAGATATAAGATATGGATTTTCTCATAACTGACAGTTTAAGTACACAGAACAAAGTTATTTTATGCCATACACTGACAAAGATATCGTCTGGACTTTCAAGATTAATGTGAATTAAAACTGCAACATTTAACCTATCATAATACAACTAAATGAAGAAACACTGTAGTTTATTGATTTAGTCTTTTTTTTTAATTCAACATTATTTTTACAATATCTTTTTTAAGAGGGTTAGGCCTTGCATATATTGTGATACTGTTATCAGTAAGAAATTAAGTGTTTGAAAGTGACTGTTGTGCTAATGTTTCATTGCAGCAGTAAGCTACATTGATCAAGTGTTTGAAGTAAAATATAAATACTACACATAACTGAAGCTCTAAAAATTTAACAGTGATTTCACCTTGACGAGCTCTCGAAAGCATATGGTTGAGTATTCTATTGAAAACTACCAATATACAACAATTACCTTGAAGCATTGCATGACTATAAGCTATTATATTGCATGTAGCAGTTAAAATGGTGTACTTACACACCATGTACAATGAAACAAATTATTTATATTATATTATATCCTATTATATTGCATGTAGCAGTTAAAATGGTGTACTTACACACCATGTACAATGAAACAAATTATTTTGTAATGCTGATTAACAAACTTCTTACAAAGATAGTAGCATCGTAATTGACTTTTACGAATGATAAATTACCTGTGATTTCAGATACCATTTTATCCAATTGTGAGGAAAGATCTTATGTTCATCCACCTTGGTAATGATACAAAAGTGGAAGGTCTGGTAAGTGAATTGTTATATGTAACAGGCAAATAAAAATTGTATTTAAATTTTGGTGATATTTTTTCTTCCTACTTCAAAGTGATCTCCTATGAGGCTAAATGTAAACAGATACCTAATTTTGATATAGTTACTTAAAATCAACCAGCAAAGGAGTTTGAAACAAAGTTGTGATGCTAAGATTTCTTGAAAAATCAAGTGTAATTATGAGAACTAAAAAATTGACTTGAATGTGAATAAGTAAAGTAATACATTACTGAAAACAAAATTGCACAGACATATAACTATTGGAAATAAAAACAAACAAAATAGGTTTTGAAGTTATTATTAATTAAGATAAAATAGTTATGATACAAAGGGTTCAAAGTCATGTACCAATTAACTTTGTTAAAACATTCATTAAGTATGTATATAATATTGATACTTATTAATTTCTATACTTTGAAATTTCCAGATTAATTTTGAAAAATTAAGGATGATTGCTAAAGAAATTCGACAGCTCATGAACATGTCTTCCGCTCCTTATGTAAGTAATGGCACTGATACTGCTAACCTTTTTATTTCACTATAAAGCTTTAGATGTTCTTTTCATTGACATGTTTGTGTAACAGTGGATTCATTCCTAATTTTTCTTTTGCAACAGTATGTCATAAAGAATTTTACATTTATATTTGTTAAGTCTGAATTTGTCTGGTAATAGCTGCTCAAAATCCACTGCTTGGGAGAGAGAACTAACCTAAAAGGCTGAAATAGGTGTCAGACTTCATGTTGCTATTTCAAAAGACTGTATTGACATATAGTTTGGAAGTAATTACAGAAACAGAGAATAAGATGGATATAAAATGCAAAAATTACATGATTGTTTTTCTCTCTCTCTCGAATTAAAATGAACTTTCACAGAATACAGTCATGTGCATGGATGGGGGTCAAAGTGCATGTGTCAGCTTTATTATCAATAAATTTGATATCAAAACATAGTTTAATCCAGGTTTTATTACTATATAAATGTTAATTTCAAAAGGAAATATGTAAATAACTTTTCACTTTTCTGTGTCACATGATTCCTCTGTACTCTGAATTATCTTTTGTAGATTTTTTTTCTTCCCTTATATGGGTTTCAGAATGTCCACCAATTACAAACACCAACTGTAGATATTGACAGGTCAGAATTTAAAATAAAAGCCTCCCACCTTCTTTATTTTCTGAGATATCAATAAATTTGTCAACACAGAAGCTCCTCCCAACTCTGTCATGCTTTTGAAATTATTTATTTACTCATGCTTACTTGTCAATGGTGTGTGTTGATATCCAGTAGAAAGGCCATTTTGTGAAAAATATATGACTATGATGCCTTTATGTTAATTATTTTGATAAAAGATGCCTTTTGTCAAATAAACTTTATTGACTGCAGACTGAAGTTTGTGCTTCAGTAAGTAGTGACATTTTTTTAATCTATTTGTATGTTAAATTGAAAGCCAGATACATTATAGTAATTTTGGGGCATTCTATTTTACTGTTTGAATTATTTTTTGTGTTTTAAGATGTTTGTATGAAAGTTACATGAATACATTTTTTGGACAACTAATGTAGTGTGGAAAAGTCTTAGAAAAGTATGCTATGTATGTTTTTGTATCCAAATAGATCTGTAAGCAACAGTAAATGGTAAATTTCTTATATATATGTATATTCCTTATTGATTGATATATATATATATATATATATTTGAACAAAAGTAACTAAAATATAGAAATTAAAAATTTATTAGGTTATATTAGAAAACTTAAATTTAAAAATAAAAAAAATTCTCTTTGAAGTATGCACACAAATTTCTCATGGGTTTATGTAATTAGATACTTTGTTTACTCTAGTTTGAGCTATTCTCTTAGACATGACTCAACTTTCACAACATATGATTTTGTTACTCTAATGTTAGAGTAGAAAAAATAAGAGGTAGTTGAAAGTTTCATTTTAATATTCACTTAGGAGATTCTAGAGGTTATGTAATGAAAACTGTAAGATATAGTTATTTTATTCTTAACATGAAAAGTGCCTTGCATTCAGAATAGTCAGAATGACTTCATAAATTCACAGATAAATCTCTGTTAAATACTTTATTGAAAAACCTGATTTTTTGTATACAACAGCCTTACACATTTACTGAAAGCTTGCCAAATTTTGTGAAGATACACATAGTAAATTATAAATTATAATAATCATTAATCATCTAATACGGGATCAGTCCATTGGACTGATCCTGTGCATGTAAGATAAATAGCTTACAATGTGATTGACTGTCTTCCAACCAATCACAGTGCCATAACAGCATAATCTATAAAAGTACAGGCAATCACATTATTCCCAGCAGAAACATGATGAATGTACCCAAGACAGAATGCTAAGTGATAAATGTATAGAAATCAAAACTTTGACAGCTGAAACCTACTCCATGGAACAGATTGAGGCAAAATATCCATCATATCATTCCCACAAGAACAAGACATGTTGGGAAGGAATTCATCTTCCAGTGAGGCAGTAATCCTAGGCATTTAGAAAATATGGTGAAACAATAGCTTGAGGGAAAAAGAGGCCAATGGAACACTCACAACTGTTGTTTACCTAATATGGTTATTATTAAAACTATATGTTCTTGTAAAGAAACTGAGGTCAAATGGCAGCAAAGCAACTTGATGTTTAGAACAATATTTCTGAATCAGACTTTGATTACATTATGGTCACATTGGTAAAATACTAGTGTATCATACAACTTGTTAGCTTGTCTTTTGTAATAATGTATTGTATTGACCACAATTACTCACTGTTTGTGCCCTCTATGTGTGCATTTCCATAACTACTTCCAATACAATGCCTAGAGAACAGTAATGACATGCTACTGTAAACAAAAATAATGTTAACTCTCAGTAACTATTTACAAAACAAAATTTTACACATAAAATTTGTTTTAACATTTTACTGCAGGATCTTTTCAACATGCTCGAGCTGGGTGGAGCCAACCCTTCCACTGCTATGGCATCTCTAAACAGTTTTGCTACAACATCTAGTACTGCCACTGTAAAGAAAAGAAAAAAGAGTACTACCCAACCTCATCCAAAAAAAATGTTTGAAGAAGTAAGTACCTTGACTCTTGTTGAACTATACAAATAAAAATCTGTAAGTAAGTTAAACTTAGAGATGTGTAATTTAAACCCCATCAAAATTGCACACATTGTAAGTGAAAGAAGAAAAAAAGGAACTTACCTTTTCAATACTTTCTTAGGCACAGATGGTGAGAAGAGTAAAAACATACTTAGCTAATCTTAAAGTGATCACCGATGAAGATCAATTGAGAAGTATGTCAGTGGAATGTGAACCAGCTGTTGGGACAGGTATGTCATCTCATAATATAAAGAAACCACCACTGAATGTCACTCTGAAGTCATGACTTACTGTTATCATTGTATTTTGTAACTGCTTTTATAATAGTGTAATTGGAATGTAAAATTGAACAGTATGATAACTAACTATAGTATGATTCTTGAAAAAAAATGAAATTATTGTTAATCAGGTATGTAAACTTTCAAAATGACCTAATATTTATACTACCTGATTTATTTTTGGTCATGGTAGGTCCTGCTAGTGTGGTACCTAGAAAACGACATCCTTCACCCACCCTGTCTATAGCCAGTACTAATAGCAGTACATCAGAAGGAAAGAAATCAGTTAACTCTGGGCCAAAATTTGGTAAACTAATAGCCTGTTTTAATCTTTCAATTGTTATTTGGTGTAAAATTCTGAACATAAAGTGAAACATTTTCTTTAGATTTGGTGCCATTAAGCTAGTATTTTAAATTAGTATCAGTTGTATGTATGGTGTTTTAGTTGTCTTTTACTTGCCAGAGTGAATCTATATTTATAAAAGATTTGAAGAATACATTCAGTGGATAGAATTCCGCTTAAACCAGTATAAATCAGTGACAAATGTTAGGTGGAATGATAGCTTTGGCTTCATATTTATCTTTAATATCAATTATATTCTTTTAAAACACAACATAAATGTTGGCAGTGTGATATTAATAATCAGTAAGCACTGCTGTTTTTGATTTACTAAATTTATATTATAGAGTCTCCTTGAAACAAACAGTATCTTTCAAAATCCAGGTTAAAGGTAAAAGTGATATCACCCACATGAAAAATTATAACTTATTTACCAGGTGCATATTTTTATAATGATACAATATTTTAATTATAGGTTTTTCACATTAAAAGTAATTACCTGGTGCATGAAACTTTTAATAAAACTGGATCAAAACTATTAAATGAACTAAATGAGATATAGCTTAAAACTGTATACAGAAGAATAATTGCATTTAACAAGAATATTTTGCTTATGTAATAACACGTCACAGCAGACGGAAGCTGTGGCCCCATGAGAGACATTAGTACCTGTATATTTGATTCATTGCAAATTCATGATCATTTATGAGTGCAATTGGATATATCATATCCCTTTCAGAGGTAGAATTTTCTATAGTGAGATCATTAATTCTCTCAATACGGGCTCGGCTCGGTTGATTTGACAGACCATGTGACCTCTTTGTACTCGTTTAATGTCTTTATAGTTTTGATACTATTAATTTTTAATATAGTATGTATATCTTCATAAAATTTGCGTTATCTCTAAAACCTCCTAAATACATTTCAAATATTTGTTTTCAATAAAACTTTATATTTTATATGTTATTTTCTCTACCCAAACTCTATACAAATTTGGTCAGTTTGATCAACATCGTAAACACCAAAAAAATCGAAATAAATCTAAATTAGCCTTTTTTCTTTCTAGAATGACTTCATATTGTAACATTAAACTACATTCATTTATGCTAAGTAGCTTTAAACTCGTAAAGAGTATACATCTATTTACACTTAAATTTTATTGTTTTATTTCCCTTTGAACCATGTCTACTGCTACTATTCATGCCATTATAAGTTGTAAATCACTTGGGGAACATGGAGCTCACATTATGCTATCGTATTACATTACCCACGAGCTACTCTTAGCTGCTCACATGCATGTCTTGTGAAACATTTTTATTATATTATTATCATTATTATCCATTTTATATAATCTAACCTTAACTAACCTAAATAGATCCCTATTTTTACATTTTAATTACTTTTGATAATAATAAACAAAAACAAACCCAATCTTCTTTTTTCTTGCTGTCGATTGTTGATGACACTTAACCCTACTTTTCTAATCTAATGGTAGTAATGCACTAAATAATTTTTATTTAATTAAATAATGCTCTAAAGAACATAAAATAATAACATGCAAAAAGCAGACAATTTTCCTTAACTGTCATGATTTTTCTGGTTTTCTAACTATGTGACAAGAGCCGTTACAAATTGATCAAAGCTATTCGTTATCCTTCCTTTGGGTACAAAGCTTGTACTAACAGAGAAAATGACAATTTTCTGTTCAGAAAACAACGTAATATAATACATCATTTGATATATGAAAACCTTGGCTTTCTATTGGTTATATATAATATAGTATTAAGAGTAAGAGAGAACTATTAACAAATCCTGAAACAGAGGATGTGACAGGTGGGTGTGGCAAGAGGGGTCTGATTTTCTACTTGATGGCTCTGTAACCAAACAAAATTGAAGGCTATAAAAATTATAGTTTGTCTGAGCAATGATAATTGTATAGTAAGTAATTTACATTAAAATTTGTACTTATTGAAGGGGTGGTGAATATAATACAGAAGAGGGGATGCCAAGAGAAAATGTCATATTTCTCACAGTAGGTGAAATTCAGGATTTTTTTAAATATTATAAAATTAAGAAGTAAAAACTTATATACTATTAAAATATGGATTATTAGTAATGATTTTATGCTATACTGATTGGTAAAACATAAAGAAAAAGTAGTTAAATTCAAATTTTAATTTAAGTCACTAAACCTCGTTACATGCGCAGTAAAGGATGCCTGTGGCAATAAGATTAAGTGACATGGAGACAAAGGACACAACATTTAAAGAGAACCTTAAGTGTTCTTTATGGTGGGGGTAAAAATCTTGGGCATTAGAGTATTTAAGATAGCAACAGGCTCAGCCACCACACTTGAAATTGATCTAGAGCAATGCACTCATGTGTAAAGTAAAGGATTTGTGATAACCTTCTAAATCTCCAAAAAAGTAAAACTTGGAACATCTTCTGGCACTGTTAACAAAATAGTAAACAAAAAATAAAGTTGACAAAGGTTCATGAACCAAAGTTACAAGTTTGTAACTCATTACAAAATCGGTGGTTATTTTCATGAGAATGACAGCCAAAGAAACTGGAATCACAGCTATTCCATTCCACCACGTTCCTATAAAGTCTCCTGGTGCGGAGCTCCAATGCACTTTTATGCTTTTAGTCTGCTTCAGTATGGTTTTGGAAGCTGATGTCCATATACAGTGTAGAGTTTTGAACATGAATGACAATGGACCCTGAACTTCATTCTTATGAAGTGAAATTAACCATCAAGATAATCATTCAATGTAATAGTTTGTTTAAAAATTTACTCATTAGAAGTGTTTCAGAATATTACAAGAATAAGGGGTTGAAGCAGAGTCTATGTGTGTTCTATCTGAAAATCATTTCTTTTATATAGCTGAATATATTGCTTGATGCTATATTCAGTTTGCATGAACTTTCTGGGTGTTCTTTGTAAATTTTCATTTTCTGTTTTACAGGAACTGAATCACCTCAAGCTGTTAGAAAAATGTTAGCCCTCTCTGATCATTCTAAGCTCCGCCCCTACCAACGTACCAGACACTCCCATTCACCTTCTCCATTACCTTCACCAAATGCAGCTCGACGGTGGCAAGACAATGGTCATGGTCGCTCTCACAGTGATACTCAAAACCCTTCTGTACATCCAGTAGATCTTTCGATGGAAAGTTCTAGTGTCACTAGTTTAAATAATCTTCTACTACGCAAAACACAAACTTCAGGTAGTATCTGCAGCTTGAATATTAAGTTGTATGCAAAATATAGTTGCTTGATTGGCATTTCCGAAATGGTACAACTTCCTCTCACCCATAGCTATCTCTACTTTGGTCTGCCCTCTAAGCATTGCTAAAATTTTATCACTAACAGTGCACCAGTCTTTTATACCCCTTTATTTTTGTACCATTTCAGAACGTGCTGATCATATGACTACCATCCACCAATCATACTGCTCCATCTATACTAGTATAGGTAGTTCCCTCTACTATTCTAGCACAATCCTCATTTTTTCGATTAGCATTCTAGTTTATGTTTTTTAACTCATTCTCCATGCAACTACAAAATTTTGATTGTGCTTGATTCCAAATTTATATCAATTTTGACTTCTTGGTTTTATTTCCATTGTTTCTACTCGTTTGTTTTAGAAATATTTCCATTTTCCAAATTCTAATTTGTTCATATGAATTCGAGATTTAATAATAATATATAATAATATTATGGTGAATGATGAAATTCCCATGATAGTAGACAATGGTTCTGACACGTGTCCCCAGTTCTCTGGGTTGACGATATCTGTTGGGAAAGCAAAGGCTTAGTTCGCGGGGAGTTTGTGTCTTATGTTTGGCCGATAATTTCTTCATTTCCTGTTACGAATTTTTGTGAAGAAGGATATGACTACTGTGTGGAAATTTCTTTCTATGGCACTTTACTTCTCTTATCATGCCTTCATGTAATCTGCTGGGTTAGATATTGTTCTTTTTCTCAAGACATCAGTAGTAGGTTCTTCAGTGTGTATTTCTCACTCCCTAAAGGTATACCCATGTTTAGTAAGTTTATCTGAGCTTGTGTGGATGGACCTAATTTCCACACTCATTAATTTAGATCTTCCATGTCTTCTCTCCTGAGTATTTGGTAAGTTAGATTTTTATACTTCTTTTACCATCTAGGTTACTTTAGTTTAAATTTGCATTTATACTTTGATTATTACATTGTTTTTGTTTCATTTTCAGTTTATGTACTGAATTTGCATGATCTTTACTGTTTGGGTAATTGTAACTTTGGCTACATTTGTGGTTGTTGGTTCATTATTTTTACTTCTTTTCACTGTTTATGTTATTTAGTTTGTAAGCTCATTTTCTTTGCTCCTAGTCACATTTAATTGGAGATTAGATTTGAGTCTAGATTTGTTATTGTTAACTGGGTGCCTTTTTATTCTCATTTTTTCAGAGTAGGTTTTACTTTCGTGTCCTTTGTCTTATAGATTTTTTGAATGAACTTATATGTTTAATAATTTAAGAATCTTTTATCTTCTAAGTTCCTTTAGTTGTTTTGTACTTTAGGTGTTGCTTACTGTTTTATGTCTTATGTCGACTTTCATAGTTTGCAGGTTTGTTCTTTTTTTATGTACTTTGTAGACTCTACACATTTGTAGGTTTTGTTAGTAATGAGTACTTTCTCTAAGTATGTTTAGTTTATGTGTCTTTTTGGCTACACTTCATGACAATTCTGTGGATTCTATGGGTTCTTTCTGTGGGTTTCTACCTTCAGTTTCACTCCCCCTTTGTCCACTTCCCATATCTCCTTCCCACCTCCTTGTCGAGACCTCCTACACAAAAGAGCTAATGATCTGGTGCCCCCTCAACTGGGATTTTACTACCATCTATTTACTGTCTCCAAAAACTCTGGAGATTGGAGACCCAACATAGATCTGTCCTGACTGTATACCTATCTAGATAACACCCCACTTCACCATTGAGTCCTACCTCACTTCAGTGTTATTTTGGTTTTTTTTACCAGAACTTTGGAGGACCAACTTTGATGTGACAGATGCCTATCTTCATATTCCAGTTGCCCCAGTGTCACATCATTTTTCTTTGGGTCGTCCACGAGGGTTCTGGGTGCTGCTGCTCAGTTTTCCTTCAGCTCTGTATATGTTTTGTCAAGTGGTGAGCTGTTTTGAATATCATCTTCACTTGCTGTGTCTTTGGACTCACTATTACATAGACGACTGGCTACTGCTCGCCTCTTCCCCTGCCCAGTCAGTCACTCATACCCACTTACTTCTTCGAGAAGCTGCTCGAGCGGGATTTCTCAATAAGTTGGAGAAGTTCTTTACTACCCCATGCAATATCTTATTCATTTAAGGTTCTCTTCAATTCCCATCTCACTTGGGCCAAGCCTTCTTCACTTTGGCTCCGTGATATGGAGTGCGCAGTCACAAAGGCCCTGCCTTCTCTCTCTGTGTGCGAGAGGTTCTATCTCTTTTGGGATGTGGGCTTCCTTAATAGACTTCTACCTGAGATCAGGGCTGACCTTACTTGGTAGCTCGACAGGGACTCAACCATGGTGGGAGTTCCCATTTCTCTGCCTCGTCCCAAGTCTCATCTGTTCACAGATGCTTCCTTGGTGGGTTGGGAGGCTTTCCCCGATTCCCAAGAGATTTGCGATCGGTGGTCAGTTGAGGAGGCAACACTCCATATCCACATTCTGGGACCTTTGGCAGTTCATTAGGCTCTGTATCATTTTCAACTGCTTCTGCGGGGGTGGGTGGTTATGGTTCATTCTGTCATTTCCACTGTTGTCAGCTATATTACCAAGCAAGGGGGAACCAAGTCCAGATCTCTGTGTTTCAGATTTGATCTCCTGTACTAGGCCAACAACCACCATGACAGTTCTGGCATGTCATATATCCAGAATTATGAATCTTGTGGCCTATTGCTGATCCTGTTCCAACCAGGTTCTCCCCACAGAGTGGACCCTTCATTCACAAGTATTTCTGTGGGTGAATTCTCAACTGGGAAGACTGCACATATGTGTTTGCCACTCACTGGAATGCCAAACTTCCTTCCTTGGTCTCCAGTTCCTCACCCCTCAGCTCTACGGATGAATGCTTTCAATCAAGATTGGAAGGCTCTTACCTCTGTCCTGATTGCTCCTCCAACTGTTGCTCTTTATAGGGCTGCCCTGTCAAACATCTTCCATTCTTCCACTTCCAGGAAAGCCATCTCCTTCCTGGTCATTACCATTCCTTGTATGTTATCCTTTATCCAAATTGGTCCATCCTTCCCAGGACATTAGCTGCCAGGGAAGGTTGTTTAGCCTTTTCTTCTATTTCCATTTGCCATCTATACTCCTGTTCAGATTCAGGTCGACTACTTTGTCCAGTTCATTCCCTGCTATGTTATTTGGCTCATACTGCCTCCTTTTGTGGTTCTCTTTGTTCCATTGAATTCCTCTGTACCCATGATATATCACCTATTACACTCACTGGTTGGGTTTGTCAGCTCAAACGACTGGCACATTCTGACATGTCCATGGAAGGTTGCTGTCTACATAATGTTTCTTCACACCAACTTCGTCATGTATGTCTTTAGCTACTCATAACTGCCTTCTTTTGGAGGAGATCAATCAGGCTAGTATGTGGACAACTCCCAATCCATTTATCACACATTATCTGCACAATCTAGTTGTGTTTTCTTTGGGCAGGTATCCTCTTTCTCCTGTGGCAAGTCTACACACATCTGTACACCTTTGACTGGGGTAAGTTGGCATATTATCGTTTTTTATCTTACTTCACTGATATACATCATATTTCAGGATTCCAGCTGTTCGGGTATGCTGAATATTATATCTTCGCACTAAATCTCTATACTTCCATAATGCTCACTGGGGAGATGGAGTGTTTCTGTATGACCACTGACTGCCTATCTAATGGTGTGTCGCTGTAGTGGTTTACTCCTGAGTGGGGTTTGTACAATCAGCTAAGTCAAACTTCATAGTTCATATGTACCCACTCAGTGAGAAGAGAGCTATTACCATTATACTTATTGATTATATAATAACATATTATTCTGGACCCAAACTGCCCCCAGATGTTTTTGCCTGGGCTGACTGCACTTGTTTAACACAAAATAATTTTCTTTTGCAAGGTGCTTCTACTGGATGTTTTCTACCCAGATGGACCACACTGGACATACTCAGTAGTATCCCAGGGTGCTTCCCCTGGATGTTTTTACCCAATCAGACTGCACTTGACCTAATCCTAGGCACTTTCCCCTGGGTTTTGCCCTGGTGGACTGCACTTGTCGATCCATGTATCTTATGCAAGGCACTTCCATTGTATGTCTTTTACCTAGATGGGCCACACTTGGCATAATCCAATGTATCTCAAGGTGCTTCCCCTGGATGTTTAGGCCTGGGCAGAAAGCATTTGTTGATCTTCCAAGTTTATGTTTTTTCAAGGGCGGGCTGCACTTGGCTTATTTATATACAATTTACAGTCCTTTAGCCCTAGCCACATATACTTATGTCTAATTATCAGACACCTTACTTTGACTAACTATCACTGTGTCCCATGCTAATTCTTGCTACATATGTGGCCAAATTATGCACTATCTGTTAACGACGGGCTGATTCTGTATTACCTGACATGGTGCCTGCCTATTACATTCCACCCTATATGTATTACTGTGTTTGTAAATTGGATGAAGAGCATAATTATTCCAGGTATAGTGCTATGCCCAGGTGTGCCTTCTTTTCTTATTATGGCACACCTGTTCTTTCAAGGCATTTGCTCTCTACTTGATTGAATACTGTCATGCCTTCACCAGCACCTCCACCTTTGCAATGTGGGATTCTAGCTTTGTGTGAGAGGAGGTAGTACCGTTTCGAAAGTTAACATTTGCTAACACTGAAAATGTAGTTCTGATAGGTACTTACCTCTGCTTTCCGACTTCCTTCCCAGTGATATGCCAGTGTTTCTAGTTTGTACCTGCAAATTCTTGAAAGTGAAGATTATGCCAGAATAGTAGCGGGAGCTACCGGTGCTAATATAGATGGCACAGTATAATTGGTGGAGGGTAGTCACATGATCAGCACATTGTCTGAAATGATGCAAAAATAAAAGAGTATAAAAAGACTGGTGCGCTGTTAACGACAAAATTTTAGCAATGCTTGGAGGGCAGACCAAATTCAAGATAGCTTTGAGTGAGAGTAGCTAAGTATCTATCGGAAATACATTTACAGTGTAAGAAAATGTTAATTCCTAGTTGTTGAAACTTATAGAGTATCAGAATTTTTTTTAAAAATAGTGAATTACATTTTTTATCAGGTGTTCAATAAAGCACTATGCTTTTTCTTTTTAACTTTTTATACAATGGCTACTCTAGGTATAATTATATGTAACAGAATATTTAATCCTAACCTGATAGTTTCCAAACTTTTTCATGGTCTCAACTTTGTTCTTGTATTATAATCTGCTGTCAGAAACACGGGTAACAAACAGTTATCCAGATAAATTTAGAATTTTTATCTAGCAGTCTGTATACTTTCTCTGTGCATCAATTCAGTGAATTTATCCAGATGTTCATAAATGTTTTACTTAAGATAGACTTAAAAGGATGTTACTCTAAGATTAGATAAACTGTATGCTTTAAAGAGCTACTATATAATTGCTTTAAAATTTTGTAATTTATTTAGAATTAACAAATCAAGATTATTGCTTTTGTATTTTATGCTGTTTTAAAGAGAGGAAAAAAAAAGATGAGAAAGGGGATGACACATGCATGCTCAGGGAGAAGCAGCCCCAAAATATAAATGTGCTGTATCTGGCTCTTAAAAAGTTTCTACTAACTCAGCAGGATTTAAATCAGCAACTATCTATTTCTAGTTTTGAGCTGTAACATATTCAGCAGGATTTACAACAGTAACTGTCTATTTCTAGTTTTGAGCTATAACATACTCAACAGGATCTAAATCAGCAACTATCTATTTCTAATTTTGAGCTATAACATAAACAACAGGACTTAAATGACCAACTATTTCTAATAGATATAACATACTCAGCAAGATTTAAATCAGCAACAATTTCTAATTTAAAGATATAACATACTCAGCAGGATATAAATCAGCAACAATTTCTAATTTAAAGATATAACATACTCAGCAGGATCTAAATCAGCAACTATTTCTAATTTAAAGATATAACATACTCAGCAGGATCTAAATCAGCAACTATTTCTAATTTAAAGATATAACACACTCAGCAAGATCTAAATCAGCAACTATTTCTAATTTAAAGATATAACATACTCAGCAAGATCTAAATCAGCAACTATTTCTAATTTAAAGATATAACATACTCAGTGGAATATGTGGAATATTGTACACACACACGTGTACATTTTGTGCTGATTCCTTTTATCTAGTCTCAAACCGGGTGTCCTTAGAAAAACTAACTATAATATAATATATGTGTATTACACCCACATATATATCCCAACATCCAAGAATTATTGATACTTTGAAATATACATCTGTTCACAACACCAACTTGTCAGTAAAATTTAAACACGTCTACACATGTGAGGTATAGTCAAGAGATAAATTTATTTGTAGAACTGTTTTTCAGTTACAATCTCAGCTGACAGCAACTGTCCTATATAATTTGTATCATTTTGACACAATTAGTGCTCTAATACTGAATGTTATTTTGAATAATATGACTTTAAGAGATAAAGAAAATTATATGTTGAGACAGAATATGTTAATCTAGATCTTTCAAGGTTTCAAAATAAAAAAAAAAGATACATGGAACCTTTATTGATGTTGGAACAATTTTTATACTGGGTGTTCTGAACACCCCTGTATATGGAGGAATGTGTGCCACACATTCAATGGCTGAATAAAATAAAGCCAGCATCTACATGTTTATCTATTTAAGCAAAATAAATTATTTAGCCATAGTCCTTGTTACAGTGATTTCAACAAGCTTAGCATAAAACATTGAAAATAAACATTACACTTCTTCTAGCAATGCCTGTAGGTGTGCAGCACCCCTGTACTTCAGTCCAGTTGGTACTGCTGCACCTGTAGTACCATATTTTCTTTTTAGATTCTAACATGCTTTATCATCAATTTTCAGTGAAAATTTAATTTTCCACCCACTTTAGATGTATAAAAAAATTTACACACTTTATACCAATATCACATTTATTTTATCAAGTATAAGCATGTAACTGTACAAAGGTGCACAAAAATTTTACAAATGAAGTGTTTTTACACTCTAAAATGACTTGCAAAATTATTCTTTGCTACTTCCTGATCTACATGCTGAAAGGCAGTAGAGATAGTTGATGACAGATTCCACTACTCTGTCACCCTCTTCACTATATCTTTCTGCTGCATCATGCCAGACACAACCTTGATAACAATGTAGCAGGCATATTCTGAAAATGAAATAAGCATGCAGTTGTAATAGGTGGAGTATTCTATCAATTTCTATGAATACAAAGACAATGCCAGTAATGTTGTTGTTGCTTTGGTGTGGTGCATTTCCTTATTGTGCATCCTTATTCATGCCTTCACATGGTGGGAACAACATAACTTTGGTTTTTTACATTTCACATTCAGTAACTGCTAACCAAAAATTATAATTTTTATTTTTAATATCAACAGAATTAATAACCTTTAAGTATGCTACTGTCTTATCACCACACTAAAGCTTTAAGGAAATTGCTAATTCATATTTTGTTTTAAATTTAAAGAAAATAGGACTAAACAATTCAAATAATTTTGCTATAGTATGTGATTATTAAAGTAGTTATTTTATTTTTGTTCTGGCTTCCAAAAGTTGTTAATAATGCAAAAGATTTGTTGCTTAAAGAGAATAAAAGTAAGAAAGTGACAGTTAGTCTCTAGTAAAAGTAAACTTATTGTGTACCTAGTATCATATAAAGGTAATATTGTTGATGATACTAATGTGGAGTTTTACATGCATTCTTGCAGGTTTGGTGACATCTTTAGACAGCAGTAGTAGAGGTGACTATCGATGCCATCACAGTCATGAATCAAACTCATTTCACACTTCTGTTGGGTTAGCCAGCAATAACATCAACTTTGTGGGATCAGGACACTCACCTTCACAACTTCAACACTGTAATTACAGTAAATGTATGTTGTTCTATTTGATATATACTAAAGTTGTTATATTTCTTCCATTATAAAGTTTTGTTAATATCAAAAGTAGATTTCTTTATGATACTTTATTCAGATTAACTACAGCAGTGCTTTTTTATTTAGAAAAACGTGCATACCAAAACATTTTTTTGTGGTTTTTAAGAAGCATTTATTTGAAGTCTCATAATGGATATTTTTCCATTATATTTATAAATCAAATAAACATTCTCTTTGAATTCATGCAAAAATAAACAAACCTATATATACATATATATATGTTAAAAATCTGTACAGCCTTTTATAATTCAGAAATATAGACTAACCAGTTCATTAGTGTTTAGTCTTTATAGTTCAGAAAGGCATACTAACATATTCATTAAACATGTGTACAGTTTTTATAGTTCAGAAAAGCATACTAACTTATTCATTAAACATGTGTACAGTTTTTATAGTTCAGAAAAGCATACTAACTTATTCATTAAACATGTGTACAGTTTTTATAGTTCAGAAAGGCATATTAACATATTCATTAAACATGTGTACAGTCTTTATAGTTCAGAAAGGCATACTAACATATTCATTAAACATGTGTACAGTTTTTATAGTTCAGAAAGGCATATTAACATATTCATTAAACATGTGTACAGTCTTTATAGTTCAGAAAGGCATACTAACATACTCCATGTTTAATGAATATGTTAGTATGCCTTTCTGAACTATAAAGACTGTACACATGTTTAATGAATATGTTAGTCTATATTTCTGAACTATAAAGACTGTACACATGTTTAATGAATATGTTAGTTTATATTTCTGAACTATAAAGACTGTACAGATGTTTAATGAATATGTTAGTATGCCTTTCTGATTTATAAAGACTGTACACATGTTTAATGAATATGTTAGTCTATATTTCTGAACTATAAAGACTGTACACATGTTTAATGAATATGTTAGTATGCCTTTCTGAACTATAAAGACTGTACACATGTTTAATGATATTTCTGAACTATAAAGACTGTACGGACTAACATATTCATTAAACATGTGTACAGTCTTTATAGTTCAGAAAGGCATACTGACATATTCATTAAACATGTGTACAGTCTTTATAGTTCACAAAGGCATACTAACATATTCATTAAACATGTGTGCAGTCTTTATAGTTCAGAAAGGCATACTAACATATTCATTAAACATGTGTACAGTCTTTATAGTTCAGAAAGGCATACTAACATATTCATTAAACATGTGTACAGTCTTTATAGTTCAGAAAGGCATACTAACATATTCATTAAACAAGCTTTCAGTAAACATTGTCTTTTGTTCACAAAAAAGTCAGGTTTTTTAATTAAGTATTTTTACTAAAATTTGTCTGTGAATACTTGTAGTCAACGGGTTGACTGCTCTGAGTGCAAAGTGATTTTTATGTTAAAATTAAAAATAATTGTCGTTATCTAAAATTTGTGAAATTTCATTTGCATAATCTTCAAAACATCCTAAATATCAAACGTTTTTTTTCAGTAAAACTTTATATTTTATCTGTTATTTTCTATATCCTAACTCTATACCTATTCAATCAATTTGACCCAACTCATAACTATCATAAAAAAATCTACTAAATAAATCTAAATTACTCTATTTTCTTTCTAGAATGACTACAAATTGTAACATGAAACAACAACTGTTCATCTTAAATACCTTGTAACAGTATACATCTGTTTATACATAATTTTATTGTTTAATTGAACTTTGTCTAGATAATAATCCCATCACACAAGTTGTAAATCACTTGGTGAACATGCAGCTTATGTTACCATGTCAAATTATGTAATGCACAAGCTGATCGAGTGCCTATCTCATGAATAATTTTTATTATTCTTCATATTTTCAATTTTATAGTTCAAAGAGACAGATTAACATGTTCATCACACACCTGTAGTCTTTTTACAGTTCACTTAAAATGATTACAGTATGTGTTAGTCATCCATACAATATGTAAAAGCTGTGTATTTTATAAATACATGTATCTGTATGATTTTTTAACTCAATAACATTCAGTACACACTTACTAAGCCTAATATCTTTTATTATAATCTGTAGTCAAGCATGATGTTGAGCGACAGCTTTCATGAAAATATGAAATGTATATTATAGTGAGATCATCTGTCTTAGTTATCAGATTGTTGACATGATTTAGGAAAAGAAGTATAAACAATAAGGAATATACTTTAGTGAGGTTAGCTGTGTTAGTTATTAGATTGTTGACAAGTAGTAAAAGCAATTCACTTAGTTAGAAGAATGTTGAATTAATTATCAGAAGTCCTGACTAAAGGCAAAAATGCAAAGTTTTCACAGTTGTATTATGATGCTACATCCTATTTTGAACAGGTTTTATGATCCACTAGTTTTAGGAGTTAACATATTGTAGAATAATGATTTTAGCATAACCATGTGGTATTTTCAGATAAAACTGATTTCCCATGAAATAACAAAATAGGTTAATAAAATAATTGGAAAATTGGTCAGGATATTTACTACAAAGCAGTTCTTAGTTCTCTTGGTAGTTGAGTTCATCAAAAAGATAATGGACACAACTATACAAAAGCACAGTGAAGAATCTTTATACAAGGCAACAGAAAGACACTGTATTTTTGTGACACATCAGATGGTCACCTGCTGCTAGAAAACTACATCCAAAACTGTTTCTCTCTCAAAGTTTGTTATCATGATACTGACAGACATATCCAGAGCAATTAGTGCTACATATGAATGAACATCCCATTCAAACCTGCAGACCAAGAATTACCTCAGGGAAGTGACAAAGAACAAAGGCAGCTAGACTAAAAGCAATTTTTGCACATTTTATATGAAAAGTACACATACCTCTGAGTAAGTGGCAAATTTCAGAAACACATACATTAAAAAAATGCACCATGTTCAAAATATGTAGTCTTTTCTAGTAGTTGATATGTTAAAAAAATCTTGTCAGTTCTATGAGGCTGAATTCTTTAAAGTAGGTGTCTGTGACTTGTGGGCAATAAATTTCAACAATAAACAGACAGCACATAATCCACTTGTTTTAAAATAATATTCAAAACAAGTCAAATATATGTACAAAAATTTGTTACACTAATGTTTACCAGAGTTGAATCCAGAGCTTTTTACAAGTCTCTTTTTTTTTGTCAAAAGTCCACAGAACCCAATTGACAAGACAAATTATTTCTTCTCTCCTCTATTATCACAAAAGAATTAGGTATTTATAACATGCAACAGAAAAATCTAGAAATATCTAGCCCTTTAGTGATGACAATATTACACACAACGAGAAAAACTTAGAAGCTTCGAGTAAGATGATGTCAGCAATATTACAAAAGCGTAGTACAACAAGTAAACTGCACACACAGTGTATGTCTTGTACTGAATTAGGTATCAAAACTTGTCATAACTATCATTTTTAAAAGAATCAACTTTTAACATTCTTGTTATGAAAACTAAATAATAACTCGTAAACTAAGCAGTTTTGTATATCCAACAAATCATAATTTAGTCTTTTTTAATATTTTTCTATACTTATATTTAGAGTTATAAGAATTGTTGCATTTGTGTGCAGTTCTTTTCATACATTTTTGATTCAAAATTAGATATGGATTAAATATTTTTCTTACTTTCTTTTGCAGTATCACACTCTTTACCTGTTAACCAGATAAGAACAAATACTCCATACATTCCTCTTGGTGTCCCAGTTCTTCCACCTATTCCTGTTGGGTCTACAGGTAATATAACACCATTTCTTCATTGTTATTAGGCCGTTGTATTGTAGGGTTTTGCAAATTTATGATTTAAAACAGTTTTATTGTTCCATAGATAGAAGCATTGCTCTTGTTACTGGTATTTGGGGTAAGGTTGTATAATGTATTCTGAAAAACTATTTGCCTATTTTACACAACCATTATGTAATGTTTTAATCTCAGTTATGATTTGCAAAAGTTTATTATTGTTAAGTTCAGACTTTTCTGTTTCCCCTCATTAATACAGTTAATGATGTATAAATTTTAAGAATAATCGGGGAGGGGGAGTTTGGCATTTTACTCAAAAGTATTGTAAAAACTATCAGTCACTTCTACTTAACCAAAGAATATTTACTTCAATTAATTATTTTCTGACAACAGGTCTTCGACCTTTAGTCCTCATGCCTCCACCCCTTCCTCTAAGGGATGCTTCACATTACCCTCCAATCCGAGGACAAAGGCCTTCAGATTACCATTATTCCTCTAAACACATGTCTTACGGAAGTCCCGTGGGTCAGTTAGCCCATACCCATAGTTATGATGGTATCACATTTGTAGATTACTATAACACAGATGGAATGGACCCAGAAGAAGATGGTGAGTACTGTAAAACATCATTGAACTGCAGCATAAACTGTATCTGGTGTAGATACACAAGTTGCTTACCTTGAATCTACACCATATTTTCACTTTAGCGGCTATCCCTATAGTCACAGGAAGATTTAAAACACAAGAACTTCATTAAATTTTTAATGCAAAAACACATTACTTCTATCATCATCCAACCTTGCACATTTATGGTAATATTCATCTTGTAAGGTATCAACAGATATTCTTTTTTTGTTACTTAGGTTTTTCCATAAATGAATGTTTAGTAATTTTTAAGGTTCTCCTGAATAATTCCCTCTTAAATTTGTACTTCTTTTCTAGCCTTAACTATAGTATTTCCTTCTCTTCTAGATAAATTTTCTCATGGATCAATTAAAATTAGCTACCTATTTTCAACAATGGAATATTTTTTATATATCATAAACATCTCTTTCTTTACATCACTATTCACTTTGTTGTTTACAATCCTTTGGCACTGCTAAAAAAAATTAACAAAATATACAGGTGGTTGTAATCATCATTATTAAATGCTTAGTGAAACTTGTATATAATAGAGGAAAATAAAGGGAAAAATAGTTATAAATGTAAATAAAAATTATAACATGCAGATAATCAGTACATTATCTTTCTTTTAAAAAAGATTTTTGAAGTGAGCTATTAATTTCAGAGAAATTTTTATTAAATACCAATTATTAAAGGGAAGTAAGTGCTTTGTTTGCATATGAATTATAAGAATATAATATTTAAAAACAAACAATAAATTGTGAATATCTTCTTTGGAATTTAAAATCAGTTTTGAGGAAAAGAAAAATCTTTCATAACTTTCAAACAGAAGGTACAAAATAGAAAATAATACCTTTTCTCATTCCTAATAATAATAAGTGTTTTGAATATCTAAGCTAATACCAGTATTTCTTTATCCACAGAAGATGAGGAAACTCAAGTGTCAGCAGTGTAGGCAAAAAATTTATTTTGCTTCATAGCAGGAATCTCAAATAATAATATATGACTATCGGGTAGAAGCTTCCTAGTCTATTTTATATTTGACTATTAATAAGGAGAACAGGTGTTAGAGATTCTTCAAGAGTAGAAGAGCCATAGTTAGAAGATCAGAGAACTGAGGGAAAAAAAAACTATAATAAACAACATGGAAAAAAAACCAAAGAAAGGCTTCAATGTAAAGTAATAATTCCTTGATATTGTCTATTGTTGTTGTGACAGAAACCTCATGTATTTTCTGTCTTGATTGTATATTGACTAAATTCTTGGACTCATTCTCCATTTGTACATAAGTTGAGGAAGCAAAATGATGTGGTATGGACTTGGAGGAAACTGTGCAATGTGATGGTTTCTTTCTTATTTTAGCTGTCATAGTTCACTGTTACTAGATCCCATAGCATATTCACAGTTGTCAGAAGTATTGTTTATAAAACATATTCATTGTGTGTCTGTTTATATGTAGTTACTTGTATAAAATCATTTTTACTGTTTGCAATGTGATGGTTTCTTTCTTATTTTAGCTGTCATAGTTCACTGTTACTAGATCCCATAGCATATTCACAGTTGTCAGAAGTATTGTTTATAAAACATATTCATTGTGTGTCTGTTTATATGTAGTTACTTGTATAAAATCATTTTTACTGTTTGTAGATATGTTAAACTTTTTAAGGAGAATAGATTGGATTTTATACTCGATTTATTTCTATTAAGATTCTATTAACTTTCAGTAAAACAAACAGCAATTAATTGTCATTTTTAAGATACAATGTAAAAAATAATGATAAACAAAAGTTACAAAATTAACATACTTGCAAGTTACTATCTCACCAATGCTTTTCATCAAGTATTTGTTTTTAGTTCCAAGAATTAAGAAGGCATGCTCTTTATTTTTCCAATAACATTCTAAAGTTTGTTTTTTTTTCTATTTCCTAGTACCTGACTATATGCAAAGCAATCTTAACAATTTAAAAACCAATAACTTTTCAAGAAGCATTTGATTTCCTTCAACAGTTTTGTTTTGAAAGTATCTTAATAAACATTTTTTCTTTCTTCATTGTTAAGTTTAGGAGCTATTATTATTATTATTGATTTTTTGGCAGCAAGGTGTTTTATGTGACATTCTAGGATATTTATAATATTTCATTTTACACTTCATTAGGGAAATTTAACCTCTTTGGAGAATTTAATACTTCAAATTGGTGTAGAATCTTCTGATACCATCATTTTCAAATTCCATACATTTTGCAGGCAGCAAAGAATTATAAGCCATAGCATATTTGTCACACCATCATCTGTTTTACAATCCTTTCAGAGGTCTGTTCATTTATAAAAATTTACAATGCTATTTTTTGTTTTGAAAGCATGCCTAATACACTTCTGTTATCTGTAACTTTTAAATATCATGGTGTGGAGTTACATGTTTAAGTTTCCAATTTCAGTATAAAAATCATTCAACACCAGAAACACCCAATGATGAGGAAAACTACTGTCAAACATAAAATTGTTAGTAATTTGGAAACAAAACTGAGAAAAAGTTTGTAAGTGTGACAAATATATATCTAAGTTTGCTATATCAATAAGTATGTTTAATATATGCATCAAAACACACCCATTCATTAAGGTCTTCTCACTGTTCTACAAGTTAGCTAAAAACGATTAAACAAAGATATTATCTGCTTGAAAGATTATATTTTTATCACATACTCAAACTTTTGTCATTCTAAATGGTGGGATTTGGATGTCCTCTTATAATACACCTGTGGACCCAAAGTGTGAATTGCAATTTTTTATATTAGCAATGATAGGATGTTAATGACAGAACTTAAACTACTCATAAAGAACATTTAATGTTATGACAAGTGAAAAACCTGAGCTTTGATTACAGCTAACTCTTATTAACCTGTGAAACCAAGTTCCAGTATTATATAAGTAGCTTAGGAAGTACTAATTAATTTTTAATACCATGTAAACAAATGTTTTTTGTTGAATAAAGACATCCAAGTAGAAGTTTAAAACTTTATTTTCCTTGGCTAAAACTTAAGAGCTTAAAAAAATAATGCATGCATAGCTAGATAACCCCAAAATGCTGTTCTGGTTAACCCAAGAAAATGTTCCATGTAATGTCCATTTTAGCCATTGAAAGAAAAAGTTTTAAACATGCACGATTGTTGTGTGTGTATAATGAATATAATTACATTTCTCATATGGTGACAACTGTTTGCTCAGTTCAGTGTTTACAAATTTATTGTTTTTATTTTATCAAGACTGTATTTAATTGACCCATTTTTCTTGAATTTCATTGCTAACAATGGAAAACAAAATTCCAAATGGATATATGTATATTTATATATATTATTTTGTCACAACATTTTCAGCTTAAGTATGTGCTACAAAAAATAAAAACAATTTTAGTGAAAAGTGATTTCACATGGTAAATTTTGAAACAAGAAAAATAATTATATAAGGACTTGATATTACATGTAAACTCAACACATCATGAACAGTGACACCATGGTTCTGTAAGTTAAGTAAGAATATGACAATAATAAAAGGAAGAGTGTAGAGAAATACAAGTTGATCTACATTAAAGTGAAATTGGAATGTTAGAACAGGTTAAAATTTTATCTCTAAAAAACAGTATGCTCCTGAATATTAATGTAATCTCAACAACATGTGTGAATTTTACATACATGAAACTATTCACATTCACCTCATGTCTACAAAAGTCAATAGGAGGTTGTCTCATTAAATTAAACACTAATTCAAGTTTTAAAGAGAAGGATAACTCTCACTGGTGAAGGTGAAAATGTCATATTTTCCCAAGTACTGAATAACACTACAAGTATGTAATTTTGATCAATTTTGGTTTCATTTCCTTTAATACATTTTGAAAGGAATTTTGAAAACAGACAGATATCAAACAAAAACAACTTTATTTAAATCTTTTGTTTTCTAGCTTACAATTTCAACATGTATACACACCTTGGCAAAAACAAATTAGAAGTAAACTTGCCCATGCACTTATTATTCATCCACCAAAAATTTAGAAAATTAGTTTTAAAAAAATGACTTTCTTAATATAAAGGAAAATATATTAAAAGATGCCTTATTTCAGTTACATGAAGCAACAGATACCAATCTTTTATCGGAACACCAGAACAAGAAGCTCACGGAAAGGCTGAATTGCTAGAATTATCCATAACCTGAGAAAGCATATGTTTAATTCTAATAATCTTAAAAAATATAAGAAGAAAATAAGACCAGAAGATAATTTAAGGTCGTTTTAACACCAGCTAGTGATACTGAAATAAAGAATAACACGGCTCTCATCTCAATCATTGACCGTTTTTTTTCAATACAACAGGAAACCTATGTATATTATTCAAAATTCATAAAAAGTAATGCTAAAAAACATTATTGTTACATTAAAACTTCAAATACTGTTAAAAAGACATCAATTTCATGATGAGCTCATTATTCCTATAAAATATGGATGCAAATTATACATGTGATGTCGACTTTTGAATATTTAAAAAATTTGCTTCATAGTTCCTCTTGAACTGTTGCTAGCAACCTGATATGTACTTCTTAGTGCACTATTCAACTCTTGTTCCTACCAACCTGATATGTACTTCTTAGTGCACTATTCAACTCTTGTTCCTACCAACCTGATATGTACTTCTTAGTGCACTATCCAGCTCTTGTTCCTACCAACCTATGTACTTCTCACTGCACTATCCAGCTCTTGTTCCTACCAACCTGATATGTACTTCTTAGTGCACTATTCAACTCTTGTTCCTACCAACCTGATATGTACTTCTTAGTGCACTATCCAACTCTTGTTCCTACCAACCTGATATGTACTTCTTATTGCACTATCCAGCTCTTATTCCTACCAACCTGATATGTACTTCTTAGTGCACTATCCAACTCTTGTTCCTACCAACCTGATATGTACTTCTTATTGCACTATCCAGCTCTTATTCCTACCAACCTGATATGTACTTCTCACTGCACTATCCAGCCCTTGTTCCTACCAACCTGATATGTACTTCTTAGTGCACTATCCAACTCTTGTTCCTACCAACCTGATATGTACTTCTTATTGCACTATCCAGCTCTTATTCCTACCAACCTATGTACTTCTCAATGCACTATCCAACTCTCGTTCCTACCAACCTGATATGTACTTCTCACTGCACTATCCAGCTCTTGTTCCTACCAACCTGATATGTACTTCTCACTGCACTATCCAGCTCTTGTTCCTACCAACCTGATATGTACTTCTTAGTGCACTATCCAACTCTTGTTCCTACCAACCTGATATGTACTTCTCAATGCACTATCCAACTCTCGTTCCTACCAACCTGATATGTACTTCTCAGTGCACTATCCAACTCCTCAATAAATACATACTGTCAGCGACAGATACTTCAAGATAGCTTGTTTTCAAAAATTAAGAAAATAAATCACAACACTTTCTCAAATTATATTACAATACTGCTGGTACACTAAAAATATTCATATGATGTGGCACAAGAAACCTTACCACACTTTGATATGTGTGGCTTTGTTCTACTAAATAAGTTGTTCTACTAAGTAAGTTTGAAACAAAATCCACTTCAAATAGAAGAAAAATTGGAATTTAAAAAAATTCTTGAATCTCTTTACATGCACTTGGCACTTCAACGTTAAGTGCTTCCTAACGTGTATGTATCCATGAAAGTTGTAGTTTGTTATTACTACAATAAAAACCCTAAAACAATTTTAATGATAAAGTATTTCACCTTAAAAAACTAATCTTGTGATACACACTGCAATGGAAACTCCACAACAAAAGAGCAAACACAGGTCTTTTCATCAGATAAATAACAGCAGTTGAAAGTAAGACTTCTAAACATGCATGTCATACTACATCTAAGGAATAAGTTTTCACACAAAGTCTAACTTTCCAAACTAATGTGTGAAATACACAGTCAATGTGATCTAAAGACAACTATTTCTCTTATGTGAGAACAACTCAATTTTCATATTACCAGTATTTTTATGTTTTTGTGACATACCTTTTTATTAGCAATAAGTTTTGTGAAATAAGTCTTGGATAATGGGTTAGTTGGATATCTAACAAATATCACAACCTGTAGTATCTGAAATCGTTTGTGCTTACACTACAACACTCACATTAATTTCTACTTAATATAAGGGGGTGTCTTTGGATTTCCATCATTTCCAACTTCACTTTTATAAATGTATTGCAAAACTTCACATTCCAAAGTTAGAAAAAATCAGTGACCTGCTATATATTCTGTACAATTATGAAACACACACCTATTTTAAAACCTGAACTGGATCACAAAGTTTTAAGCCAGTATTAAAATAAAGAATAACATAAAAGTTATTGTTATTTAAACCCTAGTCATAATTTTTGGAGTGCAATGAACCCCAGGGCATTTTGTTTCAGATTAGAGGTCGAAGTTTTATATAACTGTATTGTCCCACAGGTATGACATAGAGCATAGATAAACCATATTTAAGAAATTAATGTCTACCATATTTCAAATCAATGGACCCCAAAATCGATAACATAGAACTGTTTTATTATCATCTCTTTCTTCTTTATAAATACATAAGAGAATTAAAATGGCTATCAAAGCAAGGCTTACAACAGCTGAGGCCTTAAAGGGAATTTTGGAAGACAGTGCCTCATCTTCTTTAGGCAGTGATGACCTTAAGTGACAATGATTATATTCTTTATGATCAGGCCTGCCAACAGGGGGGGTAGGGGCCTGGGCAATGAAATATGGTTATGCCGTAAAGCTCGCAAAGCATCTTTAGGCTATATCTTCATTTAATGATAAAAACCAGAGTTTTTGGCTTTTCTTTGCATATAGACGCTTGATACATTAAGAATGACTGAAATAATAATTTGAGTAATAATTAATATGTATTTGTTACTTTACAGATTTAATAGATATTTTTTGTCACTTTATTAACGTTTCTATGCTTATACTGTGAGGTAAAAACGGCTGCTGTTATGATTCTGTCTGGTTTATGAGCTCGTTGCTGT